GACCATCTGCCCGCACAGACGCTGTGAAGTCGCACCGTTGCAGCGCGAGCATGCCCTGCCCTCTGCCACAGGCAGGATTGACCCCGGAATCATGGGCGAGATGCCCTGGACATGTGGCCTTAGCTGATCTGACCTAGTCGGATCGGTTTGGGTGTACAGTCTTCGACACTTCTTCTGACACATGTGTGTGATAATAATGATAAGAATGCAAGGATGGCCTCGTCTCAAAGCCCGTGATACATTCATTCATGCTCACGTACGTAAACTCGAAGCGCGACTCAGCGCAAGCTCACGCTCCAGCCGAAAGCATGCAAGGGACAGGGACACCCAGCCTGGTCACATGATGTCACATACATCTGCGGCAAAGTTGCCTGCAAATGGCATGCCTCACTGGCAACCTTCCGCGCTTGGGTACAGGAAGCCTTCCGGATCAGGCAGGAGATATGAAAGATCAGACCAACAACACGGAGCAGTACTGCCTGGCCCTGCCTCTCAAGTCCTTCAAGTCATGAATAGTCGTGATCTTGAGGATGCAGACATCACAGGCATTTCTTTCGTGCCAAGCATACCCGGATTTCCAGCTTCTAGAATCCAGCCGTGCTAGCTAAGACGCCAAGCATTCTGGCTACCAGTTCGCCAACCGGCAGCATAGTCACCTTGGCAACGGCTGAGCTCAGAGGCCAGGCTGCATTAAAAGCCATTCAGTTCTTGGTGTCTTACACTTGCACTCGCCTGTAGCCAACTGCTGCAGCGTCCATCGTGCGTGGCACTCCGGCAAGCCATGTCACGATGAGCCGGGGCCGCTCATAGGCATTGTAAACGTGTTGAGCCACAAAACTCCGGAAGGGAAGCAATGTGCAGGTTGCAGCGGAAAAGACGTCGGCATCGTGGAATGGCGCTCCCCTTATGACCGCTCGCTCACATGAAATGCTGACAGAACTCAGACCCCTCCGGCCCCACCCTTGCACCCCAACCTCCTGAGGCTCCTGGAGCTATCACTTCACTCGAAATTGCCTGCAAGGGGGACGTCAACCGAGCCAACATGCAGCCACCCTCATGGTGAGCCACTTAAACCGCTAGGTGGCTCCCCTGTTGCAAAGAACACTTTATGGCATCCACATCTTGCAATCGGAATTCGTAGAGTTCTGAACTCTGAACCCCATGTGGTATGAGACTCGATCAGAGCGAAAAGCCTGCTGTTCCGCTAGGTTTCTGTCACAAGCACGTGCGGTTTGCAAGTAGGCAGAGCAACAGTAATATGTACAACCACCGTCGCTTTGCCTCAGGCTGGTTGTTTCATGCAGCCAGCGCTGGTGTAGGCATACCTTGGACTGGATCCCATCCTTCGCAGTCGTCATACGTACGGACGCTCCCCATCGGCAAGTTCACAAAAACTGCTAGCACAGTATGCCATATCATATCGAAACCCTAAACCCTACAGCTCTAAGACGGCAGCTGCCTGATCCTTCACTTTGCCGCCTTTCCGTCCGGATCGCCAGCTTCTTCAAAGCCCAAGAGCAGGCCCAGCCAGAAGACGGTCGCTGTCAGCAAAGCGCTGGCAGCCTGAAAGGCGGTGATTCCTCGCTGACCATCCCAAATCGCACACTGCGTCGCGATGGCAGAGAAGACGGCTGGTGGTCCTCTGCACGCTTCTGATCTACGGCAAGACCCTGTGGTTTCCCCCCCTGCATGAATTCAGAAGTTGAGGGTGTTTGTCATAATCTTGCACATAGATTGACATAGATGCTTTGAGGGTCCTCCTTGCGCAAAAACGAGAACAGCTGTTGCCGTGCCTGCTATGTCGGCCAAGGGCTCCAGATATATAACGGAGAGGGGAATACAGCACGTGTAGCAGAAGCCCATGACCATGGAGCTACCAGTGTAGCTCCAAAGTTGTTCGGAAAAGAACGCCTCAGCTCGAGGAAATCGCAGGAAAGCTTTGGGGACAACAGATCCTCCCTTCTATTCTTTGGCCAGATCGACGGGACCAAGTGGCTGCAAGCAAGAAGATCAGGCCGCTGCCCACACCAAAGGCTGTCACCCACAGTTTTGCTGTTCGCAAGATGCTGGAGCCTTGGCTGCGATTTCCTAAAGCTCAGCTCTTGAAACCAACACACTCTACCAAAGGGCTCTTGCAAAAAGGGGCCAAAGAGCTGTGAAAGATCTGGGCCACAGGTATGCCGACAGTGGAGCACAGAGAAAAACCAGCTATAAGGTAAGAGGTCGTGGCGATACTCCGGTTGTGGATATTTTCCGCGATGTAGCTGATGTTCGCAGTGAATGAATAGTAAGTCCCATAGATGCAACTTTGTGTGAGAAGTATCGTGACAAGCCATGGATCAGAGAGCACACGTGCCAGCCTGGTGGAATAACTGTAGTGCTCGGTCTCAGGGCTGGTTTCTGAAAGATATCGGGCTCCCCAACAGGCTAAGCCGGTCCAAACCAGGGACAAGACGAGAAAAGGCACCCGCCAGTGCGTGGCCTCGGCCATCAATCCTCCAAGGACTGGTGCACTTGCTTTACCAATCAAGGACATCGATCCAACGGCAGACATGCACAGCAGCCGTTCTTGCATGTCTGGGAAGCAGTCGCGGATGGTGGCGAAGACGAGTGGCTCAAGTGCCTCGCCAAGCGACTGGATGGCCCGAGCCGCGAGATACCAGTAAACAGTCGGTGCGAATGCAGAGGCGAGTGACCCCATGACTAACGCAACTAGGCACGAAACAAAAATCGGCCTCCGGCCAATGTAATCGGAGAGAGGTGTGAATAGCAATGCGGCCAAGGCTTTCACAAGGAAGCTCAGCTGGACCGAACCACTGAGGAGCGTCTCAGATCCTTTCAGATCCCGCCCCATCTGCGGAAGACTTGGAATGTATTGGTCAGTGCCAAAGTAGATGAACGTCGTAACGATGCACAGGTACACCGTCAGAGCCCAGTCGGACGTGCTGCGATCTTTTGGCTGCTTTCGCGGCAGCCCAATGCAGAGCGCACAGAGAAATGCCACTGCCAGGAGGGTACCGATGGCAATCACGACCGAGCTGCACACCCAGCCGAATCGATGCCCCAGTTCTGCCAGGTCTCCGTGTCCGTGGGGCTGGTCACCATTTGCAGGCATGCGCATATTCTGTGCGAGCCACTGGACGCCCTGTGTCTTGAGCGGCTCCAACGCCACATCGTATTGCAGCAAGTGCAAGCAGGATTGCTGCGAGCTGTCAGCGCCACGCTGCCAGGAAGCTGAGGTAACATCACAGACCATGGCTTGCAAGTGCGATCACTACACCCTGCGCCAGCCTCATGCCGACATCTCCTAATAGGCAACCTATACAGTAACGAAGCACATGTGGCTGCAGCCGGGAAAACGCAAGTTGTGTTCAGAAAGTGCGCCGGACCCCTCCAGCCCCACCCTTGCCGACCCTTGCACCCCAACCTCCTGGAGCCTGGAGCTGTCACTTCAGCTCCTCTGGATTATACACGCCACTTAAACCTCTAGGTGGCAAAGAACACTTTATGGCATCCACATCTTGCAATAGTGACAAATTGGAATTCGTAGAGTTTTAGCCCCCTTGTGAATAGAGCGGAAAGCCTGCTGTTCCGCTAGGTTTCTGTCACAAGCGCGTGCAGTTTGCAAGTAGGCAGAGCAACAGTAATATGTACAATCACCGTCGCTTTGCCTCAGGCTGGTTGTCTCATGCAGCCAGCGCTGGTGTAGGCATACCTTGGACTGGATCCCATCCTTCGCAGTCGTCATACGTACCGATGCTCCCATTCGCAAGTTCACAGAAACTGTAAGCACAGTATGCCATATCGCAAGCTGCCGTCCCCATAGCACAGTTCCACTCAGCCATGAGCAGGGCCTCTTCCCTATTCGGCCGGCCGCTGCGGTTATAACCACGCCAGTAGATCACGTCTGCCTCCCTCATTGTCATTGTCTGCCAGGCATCTCCGTGAGTCTCACAGAACTGCCTCGCTTTCAGGTCCATGCCATCGAAGTCATGTTGCAGGGCCTTGAGCTCCGGTGACAGCCAACCGTTGTAATAACAGTAATAAGGGTCGTAGAAAGTGCCGTAGGAGCGACGGATATCAACGGCCTTTGCTTGAAAAAGCCAGTCCCTGTTGTAGATAGAATCTGCGCACATCTTCTGATAATTCAACTGGCAGAAGGCAGTCGAGGCATTGTGGCCTTCCTCGGCCGGTCGATTGAACTGGACAATGGGCTTGTTCCAGTTTTCGGGATGCTCATAAATGCTCTGGTTACCGCAATCGCTTCGTTGCACGTACTCACGATCTGAACGCTCCGGCGGCGGCGATGTGCACAAATGGCACAGCCTTCCGTTCATGTCCGGTGCCGTTTCGATATCAGAAGGATTCCAGCTATGAGTCCTTGCACGCCCGCCGTGCAGTGCAGTTTCTCTTACATGTGTTTGCAACGCTATCTGCGTCTGTATCCAGCTGGCTGCACACGCCCCATCCGGACAAGAGCCCTTCTGAGCGATACAGCACGGAGCAAGGATCAAAATTAAGGAGAAAGCACTGCATGCCATGGCCCCCAATGCTCTCACTGTGGCTTTGCAAGGCTCTGGAGTAGGGGTTTCTCCAGTCTTGGGCCACGCACACCTGTGTTTCAGAGTATGAGCGTGCCAGAGCATGTCCGGACTGGTGTGATTGCGGTGTCCCTGGCATGCACCAAGTATGAGGATGAATGAACAGGCAAGACCCTCGAACTTCTTGACCCCATCATGGACGGAAACGGCGCGACGATTTTCGTTCGCGACTTATCGGTTAAAAATGTTGAAGCAAGATGTGCATGAAAGTCAGGGCAGGCAGTGCCATTTGGGCCCTCTGGGCCCTGGGCAGGCCGCCCTTTGGTTGCGCCTTTAGCGAGATACCATAGCAACCGATAGTATGGAACACACTTCAACCTTCCACCGTCTGTGCACCTGAAAAATCCTGGAGAACGCAAACACGGCCGGGAAGGCGCTGGCCCTTGGAAACTGACACCCTCACTGGCATGCCAGAAGGCCACCTATGGTACGGTGGCATCGGAGCCATCGAATGCCTCAGCTCACACTGGTTTCGTCCGGGGATTCTTCTCGTCGCTAGGCCCTGATCTTGGGCAATCTTGTCGGTAACAGGCATCCCGCGGCTGACCGGGCAGATCATGCGACAACCGGGACATGTTTCAGACCACACATCTTGCCCTCAACACTCAGGCAGCCCAACTCCTCCTAAGCTCACTCTCTCGAGAACAGCTTCCCGCGTGTGGCCTCGCATTTCGCCACCACGGAGCTCTTGCCGAAGCCTCGGGGAAATGATGATGCGACAGGCTGCACTAGCTACATCGTCTGACAATGAAGTCTTTCCTCTCACGCCACAGTCTGTCAACATGCCAAAGGGTAGTGGGTGACTTGCGAGGAGTCGATGGGCTTGACAAAGCATAGTACTATAGTACACCCCAAAAAGCTGGAAACCCACATTACGGATTCCAAAAATAGGCTATTGGGTTTCCAACTTCTGGGCTTCTACTGTCATATCACTCCTATCTCCTGTGCAGGCTTTTCAGGCTTTGGTCATGCGTTTCCTTCGGATGACATTCATGGCAGAAGCTAGAAGACTCATGAGGATGTCGAGCTTTCGCACCGAGTTGCGAATGGTAAGCCAGCTCTAAGCGCCTGAACACCTCCTGCTGCTCCATCTAGACCGGAGTGGCTAGAAGCTACGTAGGGAAACGGAGAGAAAGACAAAGACAGAGAGAGAGAGAGAGAGAGAGAGAAATGCCACTCACCATCAAGCGCGAGAGTCGTAGTACGCCCATGCACACGACTGAGTTCCCCTTCATCAAGAATCCCGGTCAACCGTTCTTGACCCAGGCAGGCGAACCGCTTGTTGATTGCTGGACATGACATGAAACTACATGACATTGACATTCCCACAACATGATACAAAAGGACATCGGAGGACCTACTTCAGGTCTCAGGCCCTTGCCACGGGGGAATCTCAGGCTGAGGAGCGCACTCGCTGAAACGGAAGAGGAGGTGTCACTGAGCTCGAAGAAGGACGGAGTGGTCGACCAGCGAGGACTTCGTGTAGACAACGATGTGAGAGCAGGGTCCTCTCAGCAAAACGCACTCGTTGATGTTACCAGTCTGGACATGATGGTTGAGGGCTTGAGGCTGGAAGGTACGTCCGCAATGCCCGCACAGGTCGGCGCTCAGCGCTTGCCAGTACGGAAGCTCGCCGCGGAGTCCTTGCGGCTGCTCGGGCAAGAAGGCCGCACAGTTCGTGCGCTTCAAGATATCCAGACCTTCAGAGTCTTCCAGGATGTTTGCTGACCGTGGTACTGGTATTTATCGAAAACAATGGCAAAACATCTCGTCACCTATAAAAGCTCCAGCTTCCATTCTCGAGGTCTGTCAGTGCTGGGGCAGAATAGACTTGCTCGCGATGTAGCCCGGAACGGCACAAGCTTAACTCTATGAATTTAGTCAGCTCAAGCATCCATATTCCAGAAAGCCAAATCAGGTGACTTCATCCTCAGCAAACTGACCGGTTCTCCTGTTCATGCCAGCCCCTCGTCACCCAGGGCTACGAGGCCTGTCGTCGCCGGTGTTGGCAACCAGACCTGGCCAGGGCGACCAAGCTAAAGTCTCTTGAGTTTCAAGAAACTTCAGATCACCTAGGACAAAGGGCTCCAAGCTAGAGCTGTTGTGCGGTCAGCACATTTTCTGGCTCAAGGCGCTGCAAGGTTCTTCACATGTGTGGGCGCCAGCCGCCGTCGGCTTCGGATCGAGCTTGTCAAATTGTCGTAGCTGAGGCATGGTCGGAAGCGGTCTACTATTTCGGGAACCGAATGGCGCCTCAAGAAATGCCGCTCTAACCCAGCCCGCGCTGTGCGCTCTAGGCTTCTTCGGTCATGCAATGTATGCGGATGGGGAGCCGGAACCTTCCACACCCGAGCTCGATAACTCCCGAATGTCACAAAATTTTGCGAACCGGTGTCATGTCACAGCAACCCTGCGCAGATGAGTACTCACATGTCTCTGAGGGGAATTGATTCACCACCGGGCAAATTGCCGCGGACTCGAGCGGTGGATTCACGAGGACAGGACCTCTGCTGATATGCCCGAGCCCTGCCCTCCAGCCTGTCGCCTCGTGCTCGCAGGAGACGCCGAAGACTGCGAAGGCCGTCTCGCCTACTGCCTGATCTGCTGCAACGACAAGGAAGCTGTGTGTCTTCTTCATAAGCCCTGACTAGGTCAAAGGATGATCCAACGTCCCTGCCCACTCGTTGCACTCGCACATTGCAGCAACGAGGACAGCTTCCATGCTGCAGGGCTAGAAGCGGCTGCTGCTTAATTCTTCCACAATTCGGGGCGGGTCAAAAGCAGCCCGCAGGTAGCAAGGCCCTTACGTCCTTGGCCAGCACGGCACGACGGCACAGTTCAGTTCGCTGAACAGCGCCCAGAGCACTTTTGGCCCTCCTTCCCCGGATTCCGGAGTTTACCAGCTAAGGCACTCTATGGGAGGCGTCCAGCTCGAATTCACGATGTTGGCCGCCATCTCAACGATTTCTTCAGGGCTCTCCTGCAAAGCCTTGTGCAGGCTTAGAATCTCCTGTCGGTCGCGGTCGGCAGCATCTGCTGCAGGGCCATGGAGAAAAGGCTTGTCGGTGTAGAAGCCCTCGATGTCCACAAATGGTCCGAGGGCACCCGCAGCATTGTCAAGAGCCGTCAAGCAAGCTTCCACACGTGGCACCCCGGTTTTTCCTCTGAAGCTGCTGGCTTTCTGGTTCAAGAACTCGAGCTCGTGAACCAAAGACTCAAGCAATTGCGAAAATGCAGGACGTGCGGCAAGGTCCGACCGCTCACCCGGGTCCATTTCCACATTGTAGAGGCAGCCACTGCCGCAATCGTGTGCAAGCTGATAGTTGGCTCGGAGGGCGGGCATGATGTGCTCTGGTAGGCGGTAAGTGAAAATGTCGTAGAAATCCTCCTCGGGACGGTCGGAGCTGCAATTGGGCCACACCGGGCCCGGCCAAAAGAAGTATGGCTGCCGCCCGGTCACTAACTTGTAGGGCCAGCGCAACAAGGAAAATCTGCTGAGGAACAGCGTGTCACTTCTCGCATTGGTGCCTGACAGAATGTTTGACCATTGCGGCCGGCCATCCACAGGATGCAACAGGGGCAGGCCTTTGGCAGAACGATCCTTGTTAACTTCCGCTGCAGCGAAATCGTAGTAATCCACACCGGCAATGCTACAGAGAGTGGCATACCAGTCCGCTATGTGGATCACCCCGTGGAATGTACCGTCTCGCTTATCAGGAGGGACGAAGCCCCCGGACACAAAAGCATTTGTGCGCACGGCTCCTTCCCAGTCACTGCCCTTGCCTCCCTTGAGTGGATAATTGCTTGATGCTTCCTCCAAGTTTGTTCCCCCACCATTGTCAGAGACAAACACAATAAGGGTGTTCTCGTACATGTCTCGCTTTTTTAAAGCATCAACCAGCGCACCCATCATCTTGTCCATGTAGAGAATGCTAGCTGCTATCAATCGACGATTCTTGGTCCAGGCCAGCTTCCTCTCCACACCTGCTTCAAGAACAAGCTTGTCCAACTCCCGCAACGTGGACTTCGGCACCGCCAGCGGAGTGTGCACCATGTGACTAGCGACGGTCAGGAAGAGGGGCTTCGCCGTGTCATGCGCATCGATGGTTTTGAGGGCATAGCACAGGAACATGGCATCTTCGAGGCAGCTCTCCTCCAAGCACTGCGTCGGGTCCTCCTTAAGGCAGCCAGTTTCTGTGAGATCTGCATCTTTGGGGAAGCTGAAGTTGCAACCGAGCTCGGCTCTAATCTCAGGTGTGACGCCGTTGCGGTACGTCTTGTTGTACAAGGAGAAGTCCTGGTACTTGCTGAAGCAAATGTCCTGGTAACTGAGGTTGTTGAATTGCCTCTCTTTCCAGGTATTGGTTCCCGGCTGCATAGACCCAAGGAAGGAGTCGAAGCCACGACCCAAAGCAGTGTGCTCTGGAGTGGCCCAGCCATTGTCCCACTTGCCCACATAGTGGGATTCGTATCCAGCCTGCTTCAGCTGCTTAGCCAGGCCTGTCATGTTCCGCGGCATGCCGGCAAAGCCCGACACGTTGTCGGAGCGGTTCCAGTACATCTGATCATTATGATGCAATCCCAGAAATGCCAAGTTTCCCTTGTCAGGATAGCAGTGCTCGGGCAAGCGACCGCTCCAGAGCGAGCATCGGGACTTTGCCGAGAAGTCGTTCGTGGTGTAGTGGCGCTCCAGGAGGATGCCCTCACGGATCAGCCGCTCCAAGCGAGGCGCCTGGATCTCCGCCCTGCCCTGGGCCTCGGCCTCTCCGAGACCTTCGCGATGCCGGCGGAAGCCCGCCCAACCCAAATCGTCCGCTAGAAAGAACAGAATGTGCGGCGGGGGTTTTCGGTCCAGCTCCAGCCGCCGCTGGAGGAGATCCACTGAGCAGGGCTGGTTCTGGCTTGCGCAGCCAGGGGCCGCGGGCTCCAAGGGCTCCGGCTCCGCGGCCACGGCGAGGAGTGCCAGGAAGCTGCGGAACATGCACGCTAAACCCATCTTCAAGAGCTTAAAACACTTACAATCTTCTACAACTGCACGACTCAGAGTTGTTCGACTTTTCTGGTGGCACTTAGCTTTCGTTCTCGCTGCGATGATGTTTGTGTTTTGATCATCGGTTCAACTGCTTGGCCCGATGCACCAACAATTCCCCAAGCGCACAGCAGAGACATCCACAGTGCTCAAGCTGCATGATTGCTGGGTAACCGTGTAAGCAAGCAAGTAAAGAAACCAGTAACGGAGCGGAGATGCACTCCCATTCTGTGTCAAGTGTCGGCGATGCGCGAACTGCTGCACTCAGGCTCAAGCTGCATGTCTCGAAGGTCACGTAAGCCTGCAGGGATTCATGGCCCAAGGAGCAATCCAGGAGTTCACTCGACACGAAGTGTAGGAGCTGCTCGGCTGTCTTTTTCTCTCTTGTGGCTTCCGCACTATGCTAGCACAGCCTTTATTCAGGCCACCCCGAAACTCGATGCGGGCATTCCTTGGAGTGCGGGAAGCCTTCGTATCTTCCTTCTTCATCTCAGAGTCATGCGAGAAGACACCCTCAGAAGTCCACCAGCCTATGACGCACCAAATCGGCTCTTCTCCCTTTGCCGCTTCCTGGTTCCCACTCTCTCAGCCCCTCAAGGAGCTGCTGGTTCTTCGTTGTTAGCAAGCCAGTGGCCAGGAAGGGACGTACAGGTCGCAGCACGATGCTAGATTGATCTTGCCACACATCAGATCCCATGGGCCATGGGAACTCGTTGTAGCTCTTGGTTCCGGGGCTTCTTCATCTTCGGGAACTGACAGGCCTTGAAATGCAAACGGCGGATGTCGTCTTCTCTCTCACGGCCCGTGCTCCACCATCAGGGACTCCAAACCCGAGACACCCGCATACACCCGCCTTACACCCTGAGTTGCAGCACTGGATGTTGCTTGAAGTATCCGGTGCTGCGACTTAAGGAAGGGTGTGTTTTCCATCTTGCCTGTTTGCCCCTTCCGCCTATTTCCCGGCCTCCTTGGTGCAGTTCCGGAAAACCTCCCCACAACTTTGACCGCAGAGGCACTGCATTGCCAGAGCGACTCGGCGGAAAACTACCTAGGACTCCATCGAAAGAGGCAAACACGGATCTGAAGGCCGAGAGCACTTCTTTGCCATATCTTTCGATGACATTAGACTATAGGCGGTACTGATATTCTGGGAGGTTATCCAAAAAACGTTCCTACACGGTCGGGTCTGGGTAAGCTACTGACAAGGAAGAAACAGAAAACGTGCGGCACAGAAGACATCGCCTCCGTGGCCCACGGTCTCGAGCCAACACCTGCGATACCTCTGCAGAATGGGGCTTTCCGAATATTAGGGTACCTTAATTTTGGGGTCCTTTTAATAAGGATCCTACTATTTAGGGTACTTTTTAGGGTCCCCCCTATGTTCGGAAACCCCCGAATCGTGTTCACGGTGCAGGGCGGCCACCTCCAGTGCCTGGACCTGCATCCAACAACAAATCGACTGCCACAAACAGCCATCCCTAAACCCTAAGCCACAAACCTAAAACCTAATCAGAAACCCTAAACCCTAAATAGAAATCCCCACCTTAATCCTAAAGTCTTATCCCTGCTCTTGGCACCGCATCCCTCGGTCAGTAATCGCTACAGAATCCTTTGATGTAGAGATACAAGAATTCATTCACCCATTCCGTACGAACCACCGGACAGTCTTTTGAATCTGCGATGGAGCGAAGCATCTGGCTCCTGAGGTTAAGGCTGTCTGCCATGGAGCCATGGACGGGAAAACCACTACAATCCTCCACATCCCCAAAACGCGCATGTTCCATAGGTGTGCTTTTGCCTTCGGCTGCGAGTATGAGCGTGACGATCAACATCTTTTCAAGTATTGTTTGTATGCTGATTTATCATATCTGGGCAACTGGACGCTCAGGCTGGGGCATATCCTAGCCTCTGCTGGAAGGAACGGTACTGCGCCAAGAGATGCGCAGGCATGGTTGGCACATACTCCCGTGTTCGCGCCTCGCAGTCGTCGTCATTGGAATGCTCTGTTTCCAGAAAAGGATGTCGATTCAGGTCTGCCATCTGGGTTGCATTTAAGACCAAAGCATTCTCCTCATCAGAAATGAAGCCCTGAAAGAAGAAGTCGATCAGCTTGACCATCTCTGAATCAAAACCATCAGAGGAAGCCGTGGTTTTCTCGTAGTCGAGGCGAAGAGTGTCGTTGGCCGGGTGCGCAAAGACATCCGTCATATTCGTGACTTTGGGCAGCATACGTTCACCGAGAAAAGCGAGGCCCTCTCGTGGGCCCATCTGTGTTAGGATATTGTGGGGATTCTCCACCATGTTCCAGGGTTCCTCGCCCCGGTGATGGTAGCAGTAGGCAGAAACGATCATGGACACAGGGTCTCGGACAAATCCTGCGACCCGCAGGCCTCGCAAGCCTCGGTCGGCAGCATCCCTGCGCGATTCCTGCGCCTTTTCTGGCGAGTAGAGGTTTAACCAGAGTTGGATTGGTGCGTCTGGTGCGTAACAGTAGTTGGGATAACAGGGCTGGCTCCATTGGCCCATGTCAGCTGGCTTTGCCCCAAGGGCATCAAATGTCAGATTCCACAATTGCATCATGAGATGAGTTCCAGACTTGTGGTATGTAACACCTGGGACAGTCTCAAGCTACGGCCCCTTGACTAGCTGACCCGAACTCGTACCAGAGATGCTGGATACTGCTATCACTTAAACACGAAGCGCTGGTTTCGGCAAGGCCCGGCCCGCCTATGTAGTAATGTACGTCCCAGGGCTTCAACGATGAATGCGGCTCTGGATTCAGGGATGATGTCATCTGCAGGAACTGCATAGCAAGGAAATTGGACTCCTCGCAACTAGCATCAGCTACCATTGCATTTGCATACCTGCATAGCAGCCAGATGAGAGGCCACCACTTGGCTGTCAAAATGGACATTTCGGTTGGGCTGGAGGGTTTCTGAGCCTGAATGCGGGAACGAACATGAGCGTATCGTGCCTTGGCGGAAGCTTACATCTACGATCTGATGTTTATGTTTCCCTGGCCTCCCTATCCACGGGCTTCCCTCCCTGCTGATGCCATCCATTGGCACACTCGAGCCCCGCCTGGAAAGCTAGCCAAGTTGAACTTTGGCATGGTCGGCTCGACCTCGGCCATGAGACGATGGTCAGGCTGCTTTAGGTAACAACCACGCATAGCCGCGCACTTCATCCCCAAATCCAAACTACACACTTGAATCTGAATGTCTGTTGCATGCAACTCCTTACACCGGCGTCTCTCGTGCACGCCCTCAGCCCAAGCTCCATACCCTATCATTGTCAGACCTTTGAATTCGCTGCGGCTTCTATGGGACATCCATGAAGGGCTGGGGTTCGTTCACTGAGGTACACCTACATCCGCCCACCCATTTACCTGTCAGGCTACATTCGAAGGAGCGGATCCGCAAAACTTCGCAGTGCGGGATGCAAGTCCTGCAAGACAGCCCAGGATTTCTTCACGCAGCAAGCTCGACAGCCTGTACAGCACGAAGGTAAACTTGAAACGGTCTTGCATGTGTGTCTATCCTGATAGGGGGATATGATAGGAGGATGACTGCGCTTCGGTCACTCACTGAAACTTGCCGTACCTCACCTCTCAATTTGTTAATTGCGGTGGCGGAGGTTGATGGAGACGGCTTCGGAAGGCATGTTGCAGGTGATGCCGTAGGTAAACTGCTCGAGTGGCGCCTTCTTCCCCCAGTCGAGGACAAAGAGCTGGATCACCCGGGCGATGACGAGTTGGGCCTCGTAGTTGGCTAGCGGCATGCCGACGCAGATCCGGGGTCCATGTCCATAGCCCAGGTCGTTAAAGGGGGCGAAGTCGAAGATACCCTCCTTCCCAAGCCAACGGGAGGGACGATAGAGGTGCAAGTCATCCCCAAGCCTCTTTGTGACCTCCGGGTCGTTCATGAGAATGTTGCGCGTTGCGATCCAGACGGATGTTCCTGCCGGCACCTGGCTGTCGCTTTTAGTCCGAGGCCGACGCGCAAGGGCGGCCGCTTGGAGTGGGGGAGTGGAAACGTCAAGTCCCTCCGACTCAAACACCCCCTCCCTCCCTCTAGATGAATAAGGCCACCCCCGTCACACTCGAACAAGTGGTTTTGTGATTACTATTTGTGAGGGCTGAAAGCAAGGTGTTAACCAGTGGAGAATCCCATACAGCCACCAAGAGGTCAGCTGGGAAGGTCAACAGGACTTTCTACTGCGAATGGGTGCCCGTGGCCCTATCAGGGCAAAGATGTTTGTGTGACAGTCACAAGGGTCGTAGTAGAATCTGTCAGAGGCGAAGAGACTAGCAGGCAGAGATCTATAAAGAGCAGGCAGCTTTGAGGCGGCACGGAAGGGTGTTGTGGGAAGTCAAAGGAGGCCAGGGACCTAACAGCCTGGCAAAGGGCTGCCAGCGCCTGGCCTTGCGACCCAGAAGTGTGAGCTGCTCGGCGGCTTCCAGAGGCATGTAACCAGCTGGTCCGTGGCAGCGGAGGGCTTCTAACCACACCGCCTGCATGGCACGGCGTGGCATGAGCATGGTCCAAGGTTTTCTGTTACAACTAAGCACGACGCCTGTACCCATAGCAAAGACTTCAGCTGAGCGAAAGAGAGGAACGTCGTCCCATCCGGAAGCGGAAGGTCTGTGACCTCTTTGGCCACTTGCTCCTGGAGCTCCTGGTCCCTCGCCAGATGATAGAAGGCCCAGCCTAAGACGGTGCTCGTCGTTTCTGCCCCTCCCATGAACAGCAGTGTCAAGTTGTCCAGCAGCTCCCTACGACTGAACCTGTCACCCACCATCTCTGTCAGCTTCTGCCCAATGGTGCTTTTCGTGTTGCCTGAAGCTCTCGCCTTTCGCATAGTCTCCTCCAGTGTTTCGTGCATGCGCTCCGAGGCATCTGCACCGCTGTCAATCCAGCGTGCGAGCCAAGGAATCTTCCAGTAAGGCAGCCTCCACATGAGCCGTCGCCGGAATGCCAGGGAAAGAGCTTTTACGTCTGCGAAAACTTTACATGTGCGACTCTCCAAGGCCCTCAAGTCCTCCCCAAGGGATGTCTTGCTAAACACATCAGCACCAAAAAATAACAGCAGCTCGGTGAGGTTGGCCGACCCCTGTGCAGACATGTCTTTGTCCAGTTCGGTCAGGAGTTGCTGTGTGACGTGCTCGACAGCAGGAATGTAACTCTCCATGTTCTTGGCATTGAAAACTGGAGCAATCAGTCGACGCTCACGCTGCCACTTCTTCCCTTCAGAAAAGACCAGGCCTGCCAAAATGTCCTCGCACTTGGACAGCGTAGAGCTCTGAATCATCTTGTAAGGGCGTAGAGCGAGGATGGGCTGGGCCTGACATCGTTATCGAATTAATGGCTCTAAATGCACGGAAACCCCTCAAATCAGTGTCGCACAGCAGCAGAAGAAGATTAGTTTAGCAGCCTGCGAGAACCTTCATGGCTGTATGTAGCCAACTATGGGTGTGCAAGTGCTTGAGATCTATACTGAGTTCGACTCGCATCCGAAAAGTCCGAGACCTTCTCTAGATGCTCAGGGACCCTTTTCGTAGCCAGTACCTTCCAGCGGTCACGTCGTGTGGCAATCGGATTTGAAGACTTCCTATTCTGAAATAGCTAGGTATACCTCCCTTGCCGCTGCAAACTGAACTGCAATAAACTTACCAAACGTCTTGGACTCAGGCCCGCAGCTTTCGGGCTCAGCTGTTAGGATCTCGTTTTCTTCTGTATATTTGGGGGGGGGTTCCTGTTCTTGGGGGCGGCCTTCTCCCAGGTGCAGCAGACCAGGATGCGAGAACCAGCCAGATTCATCTCGAAGAAGCCCTCCTTGCCATGCTTCTCCGACCACTCCTTTCTTGGAGGGTTTGGTTGGGTGGGGCCACAGTATGCTGACATCTACACCTCGAAACTGAAATTGCGTTCCGGCTTCGGGAAGGACTTGGCTTCAAACCCCCTCTCCCCCTCTCCCCATTTGCAGTTGGCACCTCCAGCTTCTCCACCACACGCCGGTTCGCCGGGCCAAGCTGTGACTGGACGCTGTGAAACCAGGAGTTTGGCACCTCCTCGAACCGGTCACGAGCCGAAACGCGCTTCCGGAGCCAAAGCTTGGCTGCCAACAACCTGGCTTTTCTGGAGAAACTGTTCCAATTTTGCAGAGGAAACATGCTTCATTAGAGGATCCCAGAATAACTGGAAACGCTTTCGCAACTCTTTGCCACCAGCAAATCGGAGCAGGCGCATTGACCTTAGGAGAAGCTTCGGATCAAAAGGGACTCCGAATGAAAGCCCAGTAGCAAGGTGGCGCCGGCGCCCAAGGCGAGCGTAAACTCTTTCCGACGCTCGAAGACCACCATTCTTTCGGCGAGGACTGTCGTCGCAGACTTCTGCTTCCGCTGGCGTGCTTACTCTTACTCTTACTCGCTTGGCTCAGTCGAACTTTCTCCTTACACATGCATCTGCTTTAACGAACTTTGGTGCATCATTCCTGTTATTCCTTTTGTGGCACTGCGGTTCTTAATACTGGTATGGCTGCCAATTCTATTGAAATTGTAAAGTGCGTATCTTTGTTGCTGCATGTCGTTGTTGCTGCATGTCTAATCCTCTCCAAGCTGCTAATGATCCTTGCACTGCCATGCTTGCTTTCTCTTATAACTACGAAAGCTAGTGCTGTAGTATGACTACTGTGCACATACCCGTCGCATGGCTATAGTGCTTACTGCCATGACAAAGTTCCGTTGCTACTATGACTTAGATATTCATATCTACCCTGTCTGTTGCTGCTCTTACTTGCGATAAATAAGTTCCAGTTAGCAAATCCAGCACAAGCGCGACTGGTTCTGTTTCTGCTGTTACTGTCACTGAAACTATCAGGACTGGGGACAATCCTATTGCCTGTTATATTGCTGTATCTTGATACGAGCAGCTGGCATGCAAATTTGTCGTGACAAGAAAGTATAAACACGCCAATACCCTTGTCGAACCCTTATGATCCCCGGTAGCATTCTGTAGAGGCCCTGAAATAACCCGCATAAGACACCGAAACTGCTATACTATACCTCTGGTCTCGACGTGCTGCATCGGAGCTTAGCCTGCAAGATCCTGCTTTTAATGTAGAAAGCTTGCAGCCAAAACCACCAGTTGGCAATTGCAGAAGAGCTCCTAACTACCATCGCTATCTTCTGAGTTTGGATCCTGAGGTGTAGAGCTTAGCGCATGCGCATAGGGCTTTCGGGCTTAGAGATTGTCGGGCAAACGTAATTTAAACCCTCAAAGCCTACAGGGTAACATGAACCCTAAGACCTGAGTCGGGTGCAGTAAGTCGACTCGTTGTTGAAGCGGTGCGTGCCTGACATAAAGCGAACAAACCAAACCCGGGTGGCAGGTTCCATGGCAGTCTCAATCCCTCTTGTCTGTGCCTTGTAAATGAAACCTTCGGTTTCAAGGTCATAAATGCCTTTTTGTGCTTGGAGCTTGTTGGAGGCTCTAAACGTTCACCATCAAGCGCCACACGAAGTGATATTCAACAGCATCTTTGGGCCTTGCCTTGCAGAAAAAGCAAGTTAACAGACCATGGGACAGCATGGTATGTCGACCAGGCTGTGTCGGTCCATGTTAACGCAACTTACGTGCCTTGTTGCTGCTCATGCATTGTTCGCTAAGAGGACGCTTCTGGCTTTGTTTACCAAATGTTGTACTGTTTGGACTTCTATCTTAATGGTGCAGCTGCCACGTTCTCTCTACATTTTCAGCTTGTGCACAGACACAGGGTCTCGAAACCCAAGATCTGCTCCAAGCTCAACTACGATCTCTGACATAGCTGGGTCCCCTCTTGGACCTGGCGAATGACCTTCTAATGCTAGAACCTTTTGTAAAAACAGCAACCTCTCTAGAACCAATTCAACACATAACCTAAATCTTCTTCCATCAAACATTTTTACCACACCTACATCCACCCTGTAACCACTTCCAGCCAACATTCTGAGTCACTTAACTGTGAAGCTCCTTGTAGCTTGCTGATCGCAGCTTAGCTTGTAGCCAACTATAACTTCCACAAAATCCAATTGTTTTTTTCGAATCTACCTGCTGTGATTGTTGGATGGCAGTCATGCAACCTGGTCACTGCTTATTACTTGCAGATTTCCATAGCACTAAGATCCGACACCTTTTCTCCAGGCCATCTCAGGACTCTGATGGAGCGCGTTAAAACCCGAACGCGCCTTCAGACGCTTCGCTTAGGCTGGGTTTTAGAAGCGAGGGTTACAACGCTTCAGGCTCTCACAGTACACAACTGACCAACAAGCTTAAAGTCACACAGCACTTTCGCACA